TGCTGAACCATCCCAGACAAATGTCTCTCTCCCCTGCTCTTAGACACTTCCCAGAAAGGAGATCCCACAATCTCTGTAGGCCTTGGTCCTAAGACTTACCCATCCTCAAAGACGCAAGCTTCTTCCCATGATCCATCCTATGTTTTCCATGCATCAGTTGTAAACCACTGTTACTTGCCCTGTCCCCTGATGCCACATAGAAAAGCCCATCTCCATACCCTCCATAACCACCTTGCAGGTATATGAAGACTGTTATCAAATCCCTTCCCCCCTGCCTTCAACCTTCTCTTGTCCAGATTAGGATAAACCCAGAAGAGAAAACCCAAATTAAGGAGAGGTCTGGGAGAGATGACGTATGCTGAAAGGCTGTAAGAACTGGGATTCCTTAATCTGTCCGTGTATTTGTGCAAGTGCATGGCCCAGTCGTGCAAGTGAGGCCTCCCTAGGGAAGAACAGAGTACAAAAATCACTGACCCTGACTTAAACTTAATAGAATTGAGGTCTTGTTGCAAAAGGAGTCTGTGTGCAAAAAAACCCCATGGGGTTTATAATGGACAAAAGTTTTACTATTGACCTTTCTAAAACTAGGCCAAGAGTATCGAAAGATGCCATTTCTTTAATCCTGGAGTCACTATAGTTCAGCGTACATCTGTCTTTCAGATTCATGAAACGCTGTCCAGATGCTCAAGAAGGCTGGATTGTATTTCCAATGGTTCATTGAAAGTGATGTCCACACCGACATTAATATTTTCACACAACAGTTAATGTTTTCAGTTAAAGGTAAAAAGCAGTCAGCAGAGCTGTGCCATGGGAGGTCCATAACTCAGAGCAGGTGACAGACAGTAGCATGGCCGGAGAAAGGAGAGCTGGAGGAGTGGAAGCACGAAAGATCATTTAAAAGAGAAGAGGGTCGTGAATTCCTGCTAAATTCTTCATTGCACAGGTGTTAAGCGGATTGTAATGGGCCACAAAGTCAATGACTCCTTCACTGCTGCCTGTCTAGAAATGCTGCTGTCACTGCCATGAAGTTGGCTTTAAACTTCGGGTGCAGCAGGGATCCAAGGAGGGTGCAAGTGTCCCAATGCACCCGCCGGGAACTGCCCCTGCAACTGGCATTGTAGAGGATGGCACGGTTCAGGTCCCATGCACATTGCAAAGGGGACCTCTCACTGTCCCCTAGCATACAGCCAAAGCACGAGCCAGCTGCTTTTGTGTAGGAGGC